TCCCCTCCAGGATTAATTACCAAACACAGACCAAAACAACTAGCACATAGAGTATATTTACAACTTCATGTCCAACTTTAAATACAACAAACAATCCTTTTCCAAATAAAAGACAGCTAACGTCCCTCCACTCGTTTGTAGTGTTAACAGGAGAGTGATAATCCTTGATTCACATCTGTTGGTCCCAGGAAAATCTTGTTCTACTTGTTCACAGTGGACCTCTGCAGTAAGAGAACACGGGTAAACGGACATCCACAAGATGGCACCAGCAAGCGCAAAGACAACAGAAACCAATCCACCAGACGGTTCCCAAAGGTCAATGTTAGTTCACAGCTATATCCGCTCCTGGTGAAGACTGCGGGTAGCTCTCCATGCTCGTCTGTGGCCCTGTGACCTCTTGGAGCAACAACATTATTAATACTGGCCCTTTGGAGGCAACCATTAGTCTGCTCCTTCACTATGAAATCTTACAGTTCCCCTTAGAGGACGACGACGAGTTCTTTGGGGGACTCTGTGGAGGCCTGAAGGACTTTGAGCGTTTCAGACTGTTGGCTTTGCTCCCGCCGCTGCTTCCACCTGAAGCTGCGCTGTTGGCCACTGAGTAGGAGCGTCCGTGCATCATAACTGCGTTCATGCCGTTGGCCATCGAGAAAGACTTGAGGTGGGACTTGATGGCCACAGGGAGGGGCAGTTTGTCGATAAGGTGCACCGGCGTGCAGGAGACGATCGAACGGCAGCACAGATCTTGGAGGCTGAAGACTGTGGAACAAGAAAAGAGAATATGGATGTTACGACTGGATGTCATGACAGATACTCCAGTAAGTTTGCAACACTCTTCAATACATCTGTTCAGTGTGTCCACACACTGTGCTACATTGAGGCCAGGCTGATGCTGATATACAGATTTTCATCCACACAAATTTGTTACTGCTTGCACTAAACTTGTTTTTTTTAATGCCGGTATCTATATTTAAGCTTTATTTTCTTAACTCTGTCTATTGTCTCTTTTTTTACAGTCCCTTCTAAAGTTGTTCAACAATAAATTTTGAAATCTTACATTTACGCACCTGTTTGTCTAATAACAAGATATCTAAAATAATGATGGATACATTTAAAAGATTTGTAAATAACTTGATTTTGGCAGTGATGTGGTAGTTTCCCCATGTGGCCAAATAGTTACAGAGTCTGCATCTTTGTGAGTTTGCCATTTCTATTGGGACTGATACATACTGATTACAGATGGGTGACAAATTGAAGGGAAAAACCACAATAAATGAAACATAATGAATGCAGATGCTTCCATGGGTCCACTGCATGGTACAGTTAAGCAATTAACATCCAATTATGCTCTATGACATATATTAAATGCTGAGCAGGTCCAGTTGATTTATATATCAATATTATAGTAGGGTTGCAGTAAATAACCCTCTTCTTACAAATATGAATGCATGTTTGAGAGTTAAGTGACAAACCATACAGGCTCTGATCTACAGACATATGGAAAAAAAGTGGTCACATGAGTCAGCCTTCACCATATTCTCAACAAGTGCGAGAATATGCATGTGCATATCTGAGAATGGTACAGACCTGAATGCTTGACCCCTACAGTGAGGGGATCCAGTGGCTCTGTTGTGTAGTGGGGGACATTTTGCGAGACTACCTGGTTAACCATAGCGTTCCTAGCTAGAGACACTCAGGACTAGTAGCCACCGCTATTGAGAACTTTGGACCAGCGAGTTAGCGCTCTCCACCACCATCATCAAAACACCAAATGAGTGAATATCTTTAGGAAGAATGGTGTTCCTCTCTCCAGAGAATCAATGCCAAGAGACATTCAAGCTGTTCTGGCGGTGCATGGTGGCCCAAGACCTTATTAAGACACTTGTTGTTTTTTACTTTAATTTCTCACCCAAATGTATTCATTCAAGAGCAGTGTGTCTTTTCAGAAATAATGTCCAGATTACTCTGGATAATCCACAGACCTTGCATTGAATGGCGTGCACTGGAACTACTTTCTACCAAAGAAATAGTACCAATGAACAACAGTTGACAGCGAGGACTGTGGATTACTACTACACTGTAACTTACTACTAACTGGGAATTCTCAATGCTTTTGAGTTTTTCACATTTAAGTCAGTTCAATTATATTTGTGTAGCGCCAAATCACAACAGAAGTTATCTCAGGATACTTTCGAGCAGGTCAATACTGTACACATTAAAATATATATTTTTTTTAAAACATACATTCCTCATCTGACAGAATTGGATTGCTAAAACAATCAACCAGCTCACCTCTGTTGGGCCTCCAGAATTTCTCCATCCCGTGTCTCATCAGCACGATGCGTGAAAGTTCCGTGAAGGATTCGATGACATTGAAGTTGCAGAGCGGACTGACCTCAAAGAAAGTCATGCTGTTCTTTTCTGCGTAAGCCCTGGCCTGTTCTGTTGGCACCTGCCGCTTGAAAGCCAGGTGAAGCCGGTTGCCCACCAGGATCCTGGGCACACCCGGGGCATGCTGGAGGAAATAAACAACATTGTTGCTGTATTTATTGAGGTAATATTACCCAATTCTGTTAAATCTCTTAAACAAGATTTCCAACAGCTATTCTACATCTCTCATTTTTAGTTGCACTGACAGACAACGGTCTTTATCATGGGTGGAAGGATACAGACCCTGCCCATGCAATTCCAGTATTTATTTATTTCTTTAACATGTGATCTGTTAATAATATAACCAAACATGACCAACACAGCTGCCATGATAATTGGTCTACCCACACCCAACCTCAATAGCACAGGACATCACACAATGAATGTGTACCGTTGTCTTTGTCATTGTATGCTGTTTGTTGTTTGATATGTACAGCACCATGAAAAATAACTCTTCCCTTGGGGACGATAACAGTCCAAAGTCTAAGTCTTTGTCAGCTACAATTGGGTTGAATGGGATTACCTCGTCAATTTCCCGGATCCAGCGGTCTATGCCATCAAACGACCAGCCGTTGGTGATGTCATACACGAGCAGGATGCCCTGTGGAAGGAAAGCCAAACATGTTGACATGTATACATTATTACAAAATGAAGGAAAACACCAAAGTGGCTCTAGAAAGTTCTCACCTGTGCTCCACGAGAGTAGGACCGGAAGATGGTGCAGAATCTGCCCTGCCCTGATGTGTCCCTGTTGAAGACAGACACACAAACACAAGCATTGTAGTAGACAATATACAATAACTGCAGGCACTGTTAACCTGATCAACAGCTAAAAACACTTACCATAACTCTAATTTTACTCTTCTCCCATCCAGCAGAATTGTGGTGGTCTTGTAATCAATCCCTGCAGGTCACACACGATCAACACAAAGTTAGCCAATGTTGGATATGGGCCTTTTAATTCACTTCTAAACAACATCAGAAAGAGTTACTCACCACTGCTGTAGGCATAGGGAGACTCCACTGATCCGTCTTGCAAACTGTCCAAGATTTCTCCCTTTCCGACATCGCTGTCTCCCACCAAAAGAAATTTCAGGAGATAATCGTAACTCTTGACAGGACTACTCTGGGTGCCCATCATCCCACGCATTGGATCCGGTTCAGAGAGAGCTTTATCAGCTCGCCAGACGTCCACTGTTCGGGGCAAGGGACAACCACACGGTCCCCAACAGTGGGAGCTAAAGGCAGGCGAACGCCGTTTAACGTTAGCTAAGCAGTTAGCTGAACATTACCCAAGATTTACATAAACTGTGTTGTTTTCAACGTCTAACAAATACAACTGCTTTCTGAATCAGGTGGACTATGTCAAACAAACCGGTGCTGCGTTACTAGCACTGGAAGGGGAGTCCAGCCTGAGTGGATGTAACATTAATGTTCACATTAATAATCAAAACAACCGTAGCTAGCTGTTAGCTTGTTAGCTTGCTAGCTACCACAGACGATGATAACGCATTCTTGCACAGAGGATACACTGTAAAGGCTAGGCTGTTTAGTCCTACTTAAAACGATACTCTATCAAACCAAATACGATTGTTGCACTTTGTTTATAAAACATTTAAAAAAGGCCGACGAGGGACATTCAGCTTCCGACACAACGTCTGGACAAGTTGACTGTGTTGGAACTTCCTGGTATTGACATCATTAGCTGCGTAACATCCGGGTAAGATTTAAAAAGTAAAAGAAACAGAAAACGTTGCTTTCACAACTTATTTACTTACTTTACTTGCCAGGTTTTATATTCATTAGGCTAGCTCAAGTTTTCGAAATTACCCCATCTTTTGAATAAGGAAATTATATCGAGATCATTACAGGACATGTATACCAGGGTTGGGAGGGTTACTTTCAAAATGCACCACAAATGCAAAAAAATTACATTATTTTTAACACCAAAAATGTGTATTATAAAAGAATATGTTCTAAAATTGTAATCCTGCGGTATATCCCCATTATCAATGGATACCAGTTACCTCTTGTATCCTGATTACGTAACTCGGTTACAGCCTGACGTATACATATAATTATTCTGCTCTGGGAATTATTTTAAAAGATTTTAGGTAAGATAACTATGCCCTTTGCACCTTTTTTAGCTTGACTTTTTTAGTTTTATTGCAATTTTGCAATTTTGTCCAGTTTCATGTGTAATACGAATACAAGGTACTGTATTTTTATGTAATGATATTGATTTTGCAATTGTCTTGGTTCTTAACCCTTTTTCAATGTAACACGTTTAATTAAAATCTTGGGGGAAATGCTCTCATTTCTGACTGATTTCATTTATACTTTATTTTCCACATCATACCACTGAATTGGAATGGACAAGGAAATGTCACATTATGAAATACTTTACAGACCCACATGGTGTATGACAGATACTGACAAAGGTATAGCCTGTTAAGGATGATTTATTATTGGTCACCTCTCATTGGTTGTTCTTGATTGGCAGCAGCTGTATGAAGTTTCTTGATTGAAGACTACAAAAGCCAAGTGAAACACGACCACCACCACTCAACCTTTGGGCAAGGGGTGAACTTCAATGGGAGGCAGCTGCTGGAGTAAAAACAAAAAAAATGGCGCTGATACATGCTGGGCTTTTATTATTGCTGTTTGGTTCTGCCTATACTTATCAGTTTAGAGGTGGTGCTGAGTATGGCCTGTTTGTGCAAAATCCCGAATTAGAGTGGGAGAGAATGGAGACAGTGATAGGTGATGAAATGGAGCGAGCCCCTGCACCTGAAACCAAATCCTGGAGGAAAACATCAGGTAGTGAATCTTCAACACGTAAAGCCAAGGGGGTTCCTCAGTATAGGATTGTCTCAGCCTCCCAGGACCACAAAGAGGTTTTCAAGCCAGAAAAGGGTTTCAGACCCCTCCCTAACTCGGTCATAAATATGTTATTTGGGAGTCTTACCGCTACTGGTGTAACTGGAACATCTGCAACAACAGTAGCAACAACCAGTCCAAAGCTGATTGAAATCCTGTGCCATGTTGATAGAATGTATGTAAGAGTCAGGAGAGAAGTCTTCAAGACTAGGAATGCATGGGAATATTTGAAACTAGGCACCTGTCCTGTTAAAGCAAGTACCAAAGACCATTACTATCTTCTGTCCCTTCTGGAAGATGACTGTGGATTCCAGAAAGAGGTTGGTAAAGGTGTTATTTCTTTATTCTAAATTAGTATTCTGCTTCATTCTGAGTGCTACTACAACAAATGTTTGTTTTTAGAGTAGTGTAGATATGAGAACCATTCGCATTGTGCTCCACTACAAGCCAACTGGTCCAGTCCTAAGGGAGAAGTCATTTGATGTTCCGCTGCAGTGTAAATTTCCCAGGTGAGATTTTTAATGTCTTTATTTTTGGCCAGACTGTAGTGTTTTAAGATAACATTAAATGCAGGTAGTGAAAAACAAATGAGTCTAAACTATTTTCATGTTAATGATTTAGCAACACTTGGCATAGTTAGGCCAAAAATCAATGATTGCTGTCCTCCAATTTTGTATTAACACAAGTTTTCACTGTTAACAGGTTCTTTCACTCCTTTAAAGTTGGCTTCTATCCCAAACTAGAAGGAGGCACAGTTTTCAAAGCACTCAAACCAAAAGGTTTCACTATAACTCCTCAAGATGGTATGTGTTTTTTTGTTTTTTGGGCCAGTGTTTCAGCACAAGGCTTTCCCACAAGATTTTCTGACACAAAGGAAATTGAGCCCTAAGATGAATGGCAGACAGCAGCAGGCCTTTAAAAATGTCTTCTTCATAACTTGGAAACTCATGAGGATATCTAAAAAGCTTACAGTAATTTGCTAGATATCTATGGTGAACACTAAATATTGTACAAAATCCTTGGACTCAATTGCTTAACAAGGTGGAAAATGGCAGATAAATTTAGCCAAAGGGAAAGATTACTGAGGTGGTATAAATTGGCTTGTGAGACAAAGACTTTGTTGGACTTGAGCTTCATTTGAGCTCAACACACCTGTAAATCAAAGCTGGAGACGGACTCTTTACCTCATGCAAATTTTATTAACCTTTTTTTAATGCCACATAGCAATATCTATCTTAAGCATTTGAACATGTACTAAAAATACTAGGTAAGGATGCAATACTACAGCAAGTATTCACTGCAAGTTTTACATGTTTGTTTTCTGTAACTTAATCCCTTAAATAAAAGTGTACAATAGATTAAGACTGTTCAATGGCAGACGTCCTTTTCCACAGCCTCAGGGAATAAAATCGTTGGTGCCAAAACCTACACCTTGGGCCAGCCAATGTACTTTGAGGCAAAGCAAGCAGAAAGCACTGCAGGTTCTGGAGCAAAGAGGATCTACATTAACAAGTGCTTTATGACAGCCTCCCAAAACCCCAACTCCAATCCTAAATATACAGTCATTGACAACCAAGGGTAAGATTCCATCTTTTCAGAAATAAGATGGGTGTGTAACTTGGTGGTTGGAGGTAAATGTGTATTTCTCAAATTGCAGCTGTATGATTGATGGTGTTGTGACTGACCAGTCAAAGTTCATTACTGATTCCTCAAAGATGACCCAGAAATTCAGTGTGGGTGCCTTGATTTTCCAAGACAACATTTCTACTTCGTCCTCATCACAGGTACGGTAAAGAGCAAATGGCACGATACATTTTCCATTTTAAAAGTATAATAACTGAAACCTAATGTATTTCAGCAACTCTACATGCACTGTGAAGTCTCTATGGGGATACTTACTCCAACTCAGAGTTCAAAGGCTTGCAATTATGATCCAGCTACCAAAAAGTGAGTTTGGTTAACGTAAAAGTCACTTTGAAAGTCTTGTAGATGAGATGTTTTGTGTACTTGACTGCTGAACAAAAACTAAAGCTTTTGTTCAACACTTGCTTGTATTGAGTATGGCATTGATCTGTTTGTCTATCACAAAGCTTGTCAAATGGCATTTCAAGATCTGACCACCTTGCTTATGGTTTAGGTGGAAGGAGCTATATGGTGATGACTCTGTTTGCGCCTGCTGTGACTCCACCTGCCCCTCTGCACAGCCAAAGGGTAATGTTTCCTTTTTTAAGTTAACACATTATGGGAGAAGTACCATTAGTATGAAATACAGTAGCCTTATACATAATCCTCAAATTGGCATAAAGCATAACTTGAGTGTGAGTCAACTTGAGAAGCATTTTTGCCGTCTTGTACTGTCAAAATAAACACCTAATCCCTTATTTGGTCTGGTAATCTTGCTGAATCTTAAGGTGCTAAATGACTCCCTTGATGCTTCTCTTTGGAATTGATCATGTCCTATTTCAACAGCTTCTAGAGATATAACCTCCAGTCACTCTTGGAAGGTGGATTTGAGCTGGAAGGACAGATATGCAGCAGTGGACCCTTGGATGAAATCCTACAATGCTGACACGTTCAGTTTGGAGGACCCTGACATGGCTGAGCATGAAGACTTCCTAAAGTACTGGGAGCATGATTACTAAAAGCACTCATGTGGGAATGATACAACATTTTAAATAAAACCCTTTGTACTTTGTTTCTATTGGCTTTTTTTTTTTTTTTTAAAATGAAACTGCTATTGTCAATACACGTAACATAGTCATGTATCAGCATGTGTGCATTTCTAAGCATTTCCTGGAAATGTGTTACAGCATTTCTGTAGATACAGTGGTGTACCACAAGGGGATGGAAGAGATTCACAGCCTTTACTTGAGTGAATTCAGCAGGGAGCTCAATAACCTTCTGAGTTAAAGGGTCCCCAATTAGAACATGGTGCAGCAGCTTTTTCTCAAGGCTTTCTTCCATCAAGGCCATTAAGTCTCGTAATCTATAAGCCAGAAGGTTTGGTTTCCACTGTGATAGGTCTTTGGTCAAAAGCAAATGCATTAGTGCAGTTTTGAAATGAACACCCTTGAGAGCACTTCTTTCTGATAGTGCTGTCTGTCTCTTGAGAAGGAAATGTGCAATTTCAAGAGTTTGACTGTGGCATGAGTCATCAGGCATATGTTTAGAGATGTGATCTAAGAAACGATCTTCATAGTTGGTCAGGTTGAGAGTCCAGAAAGTATCCAAGTTGTTTGGGGAGCAAGGAGTAACAAAGAAATGAGCATCAGTGTTGAATTTAACCACAGGGTTCATACTAAAGTGAATCTTTTTCCCAGATCGGAATCTAACTACTAAAGCACCTGGAGCAGCAATGTAGGGAATGTTTAACTCAAACTCATACTTGTGTGAGATCAGTGCCCACGCTTGTTTGATGGTGCTTTGAAACCATCTGGTAACCTGTGATTGTGACAGAAATAGGGAGTTCTTCATGCAAAGAAGGTCATCACAAACATCAGTAATTTTCGTCTTTACTTTCTCAGTCTCACAATGGAGCAGGCAAACCATATCATCTGCGTCAGTAGACTGACAGGGGCAGCCATTTGGGATTTTCTTATTTTCCACCAGTTTTATTTGACCACAGACCTGCATATCTGGAAGCAGATCACTCGCCTGGTTGTTACAGAGCAGACACTGAAAACTATACGGATCAGGTGGGGTAAAGGGGACGATGATATCACACAGGTCCGCCATCTGAAAGTCCTTAATCACCATACCACCATTTCTATCACAGACAGTCCTCATGGCATCCAGTAGATCATTTACAAACCCCTCCAAAAACCCACTCCACTTATTGGATGAGACTTGAATACATTTAGAATGAAATCGCTGCAGAGTGTTGCTGTCTGGTAAAGGCACTTCAGCAGCAGTGGAGGTCACTGGGAAGGCCCTGGTGTCTTCTTGTTTCATTTGAGAATTGTTCCCTAGATATTTCCTGAAGAAGCGGATCATGGAAATGATGGAGAGTGTGTTCCATATGTACCAGAGGAAATCTGTCTCCCAATCAGCGACGGCCTTCTCTGAAGTTTCGTTTTCTGATGTCTTGGTGTGAAGGTGTGACAGAGGTGATTCTTGTTCTTTGGGGCTAAACACTTCCTTCTCTTCAGGCTTTTCATGTTGTTCCTGTGTTCTGCTTGAGTCTCTCAAAGAGTCATTAGGCTGGATGTCTTCTTCTTTTTGCTTGTGGTCAGTTTGTGAATTCTTCAGCGCAGTCTCAGGGTCACTTTTGGAGTTATGTAGATCGGAATTTGCCATAAAATGTCCCCCAGTCACATCTTCTGACATTTTATCTTTTTCAATAAAATGTTGATCAGATTGTTTTTGTTCCTTGGGGATGTTTTTTATGTCATCCAAAGGCCCCCCATTGTCGGTATGTGTCATTTCGTCACTGACAGGTGCCATTATGTTGTCCAGTTTATGGCCTCCTCTCAGCAACCTCTCTTCATGCTTTTGCATGCCCACTTTAATGATATCCCATTCCTCAATCCCATAGTCATCCCTCAGATGCGTAAGAAAACTCAGAGCCACCACAAACACTCGCAGCAGAGTATCTTGCATCGTCAGTACTGTCTGTAAATAAGTCATAAAGAATTGTTACACATAATTTCAGTGTTCTTTGAAATATGCAACAACAAGAGGTTTAATAAAAATCCAATTATTCTTATATATGTGCTCAATGAGACATATTCCTGCTGGCAAATTTCACAATGATGCAAGAAAGAAGCTACTTCCTCGATGGCCTGGAAGCATCCTCTCTAATCATTTCTATGCTCATATTGTATATCAAACACTATTCATTACTGCACATGATAATCATTAAAGTAAAGGAAGAATTAAACTCACCAGAAGAAGTGATCAATGATCTCGATACTGCGCTGTTCCGGTAATGTATGAATAGGTACAAAGGAGGAAGCAAGAGGCTCAGTGATCTCTTCCTATTTTAGATGTAGTTGTAGGTTGTCTTTCGTCACTTATTTCCTGCACACCCTGCCCATGTGCTCTGCTGTGACACTTTCCTGTGCAACACACAGAAAAAAACAGATAGCACAGACTTCCTGTAAGTTTAACTGTGTATTATAGTCTGAAATTAACCATTTACTCTGAGTCACTGAATGAATCATAAACAATTTAAATTACATTATAAGATATTACATTATGAAGGACCAGCCATTATGCCAAAAAAAGCTATGTGTGGAGAATGGTTTGTGTCTATAAGCCCCTGCCTTTTATCCTCTTGTGGGCTTCTAACTGGTTTGTCGAGCTCCGCCTCATTCAGTGGGTGCAGTTGAGTTCAAAGGAGTGAAATTAAGAAACAAATCCCTTAGAGATTTTTAAATTATCGTATTTTGCATGCAATAAGCTATTGTCCCTTGATTTATTTGGTTCTGGTACAAGTGGAAACAACATTCATCTCTTAGGCAACAACCAAATTTTCTTTAGCCAAAGCCATGGATATTGTATTTGAATTGGTTGAGGCCATTTTTGCATGTCTGGATCGT